GTAAATTGTGGTGTGTATTTGGGAGCTATCCCACAATAAACACACACTTTTTAACTTTAAACTGTTAAAGAATTTTTGGATATTGGCACTAGATTAATGTCCATATTGGGAATGGGATGTACCAAAGTCATAAATATGCGTTTGTATTTTGGGTATTCAATACTTGTATAGATAAAAGGAATCTGTAATCACCTCTAAATTGTGGTGTATATTTGGGAGCCATCCCACAATAAACACACACTTTGTAACTCTAAACTTTTTAGTTAGAGAGTTTTTGGCTATTGGTACTAAATCAATATCCATATTGGGAATGGGATGTACCTAAGTTATGAATATGAATTTGCATTTCGGGTATTCAATACTTGTACAGATACAAGGGCTCTGTAAATTGTGGTGTATATTTGGGAGGTATCCCACAATAAACACACACTTTGTAACTTTAAACTGTTAAAGAATTTTTGGATATTGGCACTAGATTAATATCCATATTGGGAATGGGATGTATCAAAGTCATAAATATGCACTTGTGTTTTGGGTATTCAATACTTGTACAGATAAAAGGGCTCTGTGATCACCTCTAAATTGTGGTGTGCATTTGGGAGCTATCCCACAATAAACACACACTTTCTAACTTTAAACTTTTAGTTAGAGAGTTTTTGGATATTGGTACTGGATCAATATCCATATTGGGAATGGGATGTACCAAAGTCATGAACATGTATTTGTGTTTTGGGTATTCAATACTTGTACAGATAAAAGGGCTCTGTGATCACCTCTAAATTGTGGTGTGCATTTGGGAGCCATCCCACAATAAACCCACACTTTTTAACTCAAAACTATTAGTTAGAGAGTTTTTGGCTATTAGTACTAGAACAATATCCATGTTCGGAGTGGGATGTACCAAAGTTATGAATATTTGTATTTTGGGTATTCAATACTTGTATAGATAAAGGACTCTGTAAATTGTGGTGTGTATTTGGGAGCTATCCCACAATAAACACACACTTTCTAACTTTAAACTTTTAGTTAGAGAGTTTTTGGCTATTGGTACTGGATCAATATCCATATTGGGAATGGGATGTACCAAAGTTATGAACTTGTATTTGTATTTCGGGTATTCAATACTTGTACAGATAAAAGGGCTCTGTAAATTGCAGTGTGCATTTGGGAGCTATCCCACAATAAACACACACTTTCTAAATCTGAATTTTTAGAGAGTTTTTGGATATTGGTACCCATATTGGGAATGGGATGTATCAAAGTTGTGAACATGTATTTATATTTTGGCTATTCAATACTTGTATAGATAAAATGGCTCTGTGAATTGCAGTGTATATTTGGGAGCTATCCCACAATAAACCCACACCTCCTAACTCTAAACTGTTCGAGCGTTTCTGTCCATCCCAGCTGTATATCAGCACTAGATCAATACCCCTATTNACCCTGAGAATGGTGCAAAAAGTGCATTTATTTCTACTGAAGGTTTCTATTGGGCACTGTACGAGTGTGGAAACCGGCTTCAGTTTGTGCCACAATGCATCAAAGCAATCTGGAGGTTTGGCTGTGCTGATTGAAGTCCCTGCAGATCTCATTTTTATAGGGACTAAACTCCTGTGTGTTGTACTGAACCAAGGATTCAAAAACTGGGCCTGCAAAAGCCAAGGTTATTTTGAAAGCCTGAAGGGCCGATCTAATGAAGACTGACTATATTTTAAAAAAAATCCATTGTAATCCAGCCTGATCCATGTTCCAAATATCATCAGAACAAGCTGCAGAGATCACCACAGCCATGCTGGGAAATGGAGGCCTGGTGGCGTGAGGGCACAAATAAAGTGATTTTCCCAGCAAACCCACCGCTTTCTACCCTGAGAGTGGTGCAAAAAGTGCATTCATTTTTGCTGGAAGTTTCTATTGGGCACTTTACACATGTGAAAACCGGCTTCAGTTTGTGCCACAGCACATCAAAGCAGTCTGGAGGTTTGGCTGTGCTGTTTGAAGTCCCTGCAGATCTCATTTTTATAGGGACTAAACTCCTGTGTGTTGTACTAAACCAAGGATTCAAAAACTGGGCCTGCAAAAGCCAAGGTTATTTTGAAAGCCTGAAGGGCTGATCTAACAAAGACTGACTATATTTAAAAAAAAAATCCATTGTAACACAACCTGATCCATGTTCCAAACATCCTCAGAACAAGCTGCAGAGATCACCACAGCAGTGCTGGGAAATGGAGGCCTGGTGACGTGAGGGCCCAAATAAAGTGATTTTCCCAGCAAACCCACCGCTTTCTACCCTGAGAATGGTGCAAAAAGTGCATTTATTTCT